TGCAAAAACACCCAAATGAAACCATTTCAAAAATTGTTCAAGCCAATCTGTCATCCTCATTTTAACAAAAAATTAAGTTGCTTAATTAACTGAATTAGCATGCTACATAGATAACTCACTCTTTTAGCAAATACCGAAATCAAAAGTTAAAAAAAAAAATAAATCTCATTAATGTGTGTCTACAATCGCAAGTAACGCACCACTCAACCAACAATTGACATTTGTTGCGTCAATCAAAGAAAATCATTCATGCCAAACCGCATGGTTTCCTACAATGTTGACAAGTGGGCGCGTATTGCGCTGAATTGCACAAAACAACAGGCTAAGAGGAGGTGGCAGGCAAGACACAAAAATAGGCAAGTGAGCAGAACAAAACTGTTTAGATATTAAAAAAAAATTGACATGTTATTAAACAAACATTGACAGAAATATTGCAACGTCACGCTACTGGCGTTGCACTCTTTACCGCTACAAATTCCGAGTGATTCGGGGCAACACAAAATTGTTCACACACAAATGTCTGGCAATCATCATTTTTGCTGGTAGGTGGCTGTCAAAAGGTCGAATTTCAAATGCAACCGAGTTAAGCCAAGCACAGCGGATTTGGTAGCAATGAGGTTGAGGGTCTTCCAATGTTTGTCTTTTCTTTTTGCAAATGACCTTGATTTCTAATCAAAATCTTCGATGTACTACAGCGCCCACGCCATCGCAAGCGGAGTACACAGCAGTACGCATGGTACAATGCATGAATAATTTCAAATTCAATTGAAATTTAAAGTTTGGGTAAGTATTGTAGTGTGGCGAGCAGTCAACAAATAACATTGCGTTTGTCTTGATATTTGCGAAGACGGTTGTCATAGCCAAAAACAATTAGGTATCGCAAGACATTAGCAAAAAAAAAACAAAAAGAAACCATGAAGTTGTAACTTTGAATGTCGCACTGGCATTAACCTTGTCATATTTGGTGTAAGCGGCACACTAACTGACATATGACACAGAGTATTAGTGAAATCGTGGGGGTATTGGAATCGTGGGTATTGGCATTCACGTTGTTAGATTTAAATAGAAAAGAGAACCGATAGCAAATTCTGTCTGTTATTTATCCCCCAAATTGGCCTCCCAACACGTTTTCGTGGTAAGTGGAGATTGCGCTTCCACTTCTTCGCCATGCAGTGAGTTTCGGTATCCAGATATACGCGGTGGAGCCGTGGTATCGTTCTGCACGTATCGTTGTGGTCTTTTGATTTGCGACAGTCAAAAAAAATGCTGCCATAAAAGCTTGCCGATGTGTTTTACCTCCGAAAAAATGTCAAATAATCATTTTGATCGATGGTGACGATACGTAGTTATCTAGAAAAATCTTAGGGCCAGTTTTTCAGTGCACGGCCGTGATTTAAACTCCCTTTAAATGCCCAATCTGGCTGGTTTTAACTAAGATCAGCCAATCAAATGTCAGTCAACTGTTCAATTTAAACTCTGTTTACTTAAACTAAGTTTAAACTAGCACTAAAAAGCTGGCCCTTACTCGTTACGTAGGTTAGGTCAGATTCAAAGGGCGCTTGGTATACGCTAAGATAGGCCGGCCTGCAACTTGGGCACTTGGTAATACCAAAGAGAAACCCCTACTCATCTTTTAACCTATTCACGGAGTCAGCAAATCTAGTAAGTTGCTGTATGCTGCTCATCTTTGCCGCTGCGTTTAGATCACTGATGGGCATCGCCTTGCCCATCGTTTAAAAATCCTGTACCGTCTTCTGCATAATACAGCGCATTCACACAATAAATGGCCTATAGATATGGGCTATTCATTGCCAAGGCAACTTATACAAAGGACTTTGAGGTGCGCTCCTATTCATTATTCGGGTCTGCCTAAAATAATGTGGCCTGTAGGTATCCCCATGGCTTTACTCTTTAACAAGAGAAGCTCTTGCGATTTTTTTACTTTTACTTTGTTATAAACCATGTGCTAGAGTATTCCCCGCGTTGTACGTATTTCCTTTAGGAAAAATTTCTCTGTCATGAGCTTGCTACTCTTCCCATACAATTATCAAAATAAAAATTAAAAAATTTCCAAGAAGTACGGATTAATTATTCCATACTCTATTTAAGGATTTTATTAATTGCAATTTCCGACAGTGCTACCTTTACAAATTTGTATGCTTACGCAAATGTATGTACGTATCTACAACTCAAAAACTACTTTTCATCTGCCGGAAGTGCACCAGAAGTAACACTTAATCGTGCATACGAACATCCAACGCACGTGAAATTCAGTAGAATTATTAACAAAAACGAAATCCTTTCTTCTCTTTGTTTACGACGATCTTAATCACAGTTCGACTTTTACACATTTGTGTCACCGAAGTGTGGGCGTGCATGCAGCTGTGATTAATTTCAGCAGAAACTAAAGCACAATCAGGACTTATATATTAAACGCGTGCTACTCAAGCGGAAAGTGGACATTAATTATATTTCCTTATTAGTCTCGTAATGCAAATACATATTTACTATAACAAAAAGCTTGTTTTACATACGTGCTATATAAATGGTTAGGCAGTGAGCGACGACTTGCAGGGTGCATGGAATTAAAACCACAGTAAAGACATTAATACTTGAGGATAAATATGTATGAAGACGGTCACCTTTTAAATTATTGTTTAAATAAAGAAAACAGTTAAGTTATTTTTGTTGTGATGCCATAAAAAGTGACAGCAACAACGCACGTTTCATATAAGACAAGCGAATGCAAATATTGCAAGTTATAGCAAAGTAAAACAATACAATACAATAAGAGGAAAAATGTAGAAAATTAAATCCCAAAACTTAAAAAAAAAGCAAACAATCAACCAACTTCAATACTAAGGCAATAATTCACAAAATAATAAATTCGCTGGAAGACAGTCAGCGCGCAGCCATCATGTTTTACTGACAATTTGCATATGTTTACACAACATGCCGTTCGGTCACTTGTAAATGAGTGTCCAAAAATGGCTATTGCAAAAATGCAACATTCATCTAACGAAAAGTGTGACTTTAGTTAATATAAATAAAGTGTATATCTATTAAAATCAGAAAAAGGTATATACATTAAGTATTTATATAAAACTATCATATGAACTATCATATTTAGAGCCAGTGCGAACAATATATTGATGCTCCACATTTTGCACACACACACACAAGTTAAACAGCTCAAACTGCTGAATCACTCAAAGACACTGCTACCAAAGGATTTACTGTTAACTTAAATAAAATTACGCAACCAAATGCATTTGCAGCAATGACTTCAAAACTGTCCACCCACTTCGTTTACAATGTACCACCAATTGCAAGGCAGATTTGGTTATAGGGAAGTACGCGATCATACATCATGTAGGCATCCCACATTGCTTCAGTCCATACAATTTCTCTTTTTTATTTGCCTTCAAATTGCGGTTAACGACTTCGAACGGCATTCAGTTAAAAAATAAAAATAAAATTACAAAAAAAAAAAACAAATAATAAAAAATGTTTAATGTGCAACCAATAATTCATGCATTTAATGCTCACCACTAAAAGAACTGTATCAAACTGAATTGTTGTTTTAAGCTCATGCGCGTATTCAATCCTTTATGGGCAAGTTATTTATATTATACAAGTATTATATGTATGTATGCATGTATCTACAACGCAATGCCGAAGATAAAAGCGCCTAAAAGTATGCAAAATCAAAAGATAAGCTCCTCTGAAGTGAGTACGGCTTGAACTTGGTAATGTATATGGAAATGCTCTACTGTTTTAAATTTGTTCATATTCGGTAAGGAATAGTTATATTTTAAAATTGTTTTATGCAGCAGTGGGTGTAATATAAAACTGTTTTGCTAAAGAAATTAGGATAGTTATCTAAACAGCTTGACCATGAGAACCAGTGTAGCCTATCTACACAAATACTTAACAGTATTTGACAATATAGTTAACGTTTTTTTATACCAATTGCACATAATGAGAAATATAAACCGTATTTTTCTCGGATTTTAAAAAACACATTTCTAGTTATGCGTTTTAGGCAACATCTATGTTTTATTTTTTCAACCAAGGCATTCTGGTACCCATGGTCTCATACATATTTATATGAATGAAAGGGTTATTATAACACTTGTTGAGTCTCATCTCTGAAATTCATTGCAGCTTTCCGTTTGCTAACATTTTCATATATAAATTATGAGAAAGCTAAGCGAAGGTTACTCTGGTTATGCATAAAAACTTGCTGTTAATGAATTTTCATAAGTCCTTTGCCTATTAACACCAACCAGGTCCGTATACATACAATTTATAAATAAATAAATATTCGCATATATACATATATACACTGGTCGTCCGATAATTATAAACGTTTTTCTTGTACCTATTTTTAACCGACTTTCAAAAAGGGAGGTTATCAGTTCGTCGGAATATTTTTTTTCCGATTCGACAATTCTTTTTGCATCGGAAGGGTAGTGCTTTTTGTTGGTAGTGTTGCTCATTTTCTCCCCATCCCAAAAAATTTTCGAACATTATTTGTATGAAAACAAACGCTTAACGTAGTCTGCTTTGAGTTATATGCTTTTCGTTGTAGCGTGCACCATATTTTCTTTAAAAAAATTAATTAAAAATAATAAATAAAAATAGATGGTGAAACCTTGTAGAAGAAAATCGTTTTAAATTATCGGGCCACCAATGCATGTATGTACAAATATACACCCCTATTGCTAGTGTCGATTAGTAGTAGATAAACGACTGTTATCCGATTATCGATTATCCGTGGTATTTTCAAAGTCGTTTTCTCGTTCAATAAGTGCGTTTAAAAGTCGCTCATCCTTCTACAAACGAATAGTTGTTGAAAGAGAAATTGACATTCACAATACCATGGACAAGCGATAATCGAATAAGAGTCGTTTATCTACTACTAGTCGACTCTCGCAAAAGGGGCGATAGTAAATATATGCATATTTTGCAATGGTATTAGTATAATAAAAACTTACGATGAGTCCTTTGATACATGCGAGCTGACGTCTGACTCATGGTGTCGTTTTTTGGCATCCGATCGTGTATATCTTGCGCGTGGTCTGCAAATGAAATTCGATAAAAAATCGTATTTATGTAACAGTTAGATATATGTGAATAAGAGTAAAGTTTCACTTACGGTGATGACGCATCCGTTTTCAAAGGTGATGTCTCTTCAGAATCGACACGTCTACGTTTATCCCTATGGGCACCTGATGAACGATCGTGGGAATGATGACGTCTGCGTGTCCTTGGCATCTATAAAGTACAAAAGCGTTAAATAGTGCATAAATCTAAAGAAAAAAATGTAAAGCTTAATGTCGGGACTGATAGCTAATTCACTGTAGCAGCGCATCAATTGCAAAGCTGCATATATAAAAAAAGATTTAATCGATTATGTGTGTGTAGTTGAAAATGCTCATTTTATTAATAAACGCATAGCTTTTGACGAATATCGGCAGCTGCGTGGCAGTACGTTTTATTAAGGTGCACATGCAAAATGCAACGTACCCATGAAGGAAATTCGGCGTAAAATAAGACTTATTACAAGGTGGCTAAGGTTAGGATAGAAAATGGAAATATTAAATAGATCGTTCAAGAAAAAAGCTGTTTAATACTATCGCACGTATGCCATTTAGTTGCTTATCGCGCAAAAACGGAGTAGGGGAAAATAATCATTAATATTTTAATTATTTTCCGTAGACAATGGCCATACATACTCATACATAATATGTAAGTATATACCCTGGGGGAAAAATTACTAGTTCTGAAGAGGTGCGCTTCTAGTACCCTGTGGAGAGGAAAATGTCTAGTTCTGAATTGGTACGCTTCTATTACGTTTAGACCCACTATTGATTCGCGATAAATCTCTTTTGCGTGCAAACAGGTGACGAATTTAAAACGACGATGTCGTAGGAAGTGGATATTGTCCCCCGCTGCATTGCCTTTTTATAGTTTGGAACCAGTCCTAAATTCGACACAGGGAACTAATTCGCCCTGCATGCTTTTTTCTCACTTTTCGTACTAATCGATTGATTTTTATTCAATTAGTTAATTCGACTAAATTCAATCTGATTACAGTCAATCGTGATTAAACAAATCATTAATCCTTAATTTGAGTAAGTAGATTTGGTGATCAGTATATTCATGCTGGAATTTTCCTGTGCACACGAAGCCAGTTAATCGGGTATGTCTAAGTCGGGTTTCTTCTTGAAGACCTATAGCGACAGACGTTTTACCAACTAGGTTTTAATATCCCTCTTTTTGGTTTTCACCTGGAGGCCTTTTGAGTATTTTCAAAGCAAAGTGTTTTCAGTTTTAAATACAATTTATTAGAATTAATGTGAATTTGAAAACACGTTTGAATACCTTTTGCTGTAACTGATTGTTTGTGGTTATTGGTTATATTCCAGAAGGTCCCGTTAATACCAACAAATTTTTGTTTTTTATTTGTATGAAGTACAGAAGAAAAGCGAATATGAACGAAAAAGCCGCCAAACAAATACTCATCTATTTAAAGTAAATTACCAGCTCCGCTCTGCAACCCTTTTTTGTAATTCCGAACCAGTTCTAAATTCGACAGATGAGATGTAGTTCGTTCAGCAGCCAGTTCTAAATTTGTTAACTAAGATATCAAAATATATATAAAGTTTTAGAAAAGGTGGACTCTGCAGCAACTTTTCGCTCCTATCTGGACGATATATAGTTCAGATAAGTTTAGTTTTTGCGAGTACTTTTCGGTACTTTTAAACTGGAGGGGATCTAGTTACTATCGGACTGGTTCGTTTTTGGCGATAAAGATCTAGTAAGGATCTAGAAATTTGGTTCACTAATTCGGGGTGTCCCTGCAGGGTATAAGTACATACATACATATGTACATGCATTGCATGCACCACAATGAAAAAGTACTTCGGTATTCGGTCTAGCTATTGGGATTAAAATTGCAAATATGCGAAAATATTATAAACTATTTTAAACTTTTCCAACTTTATTTGCGAAAGCTCCCCTTTGAACTAAAACCATAAATGGGGCTGTGGTGCTGGAATCAATGGCGAAAATTACTACTTATCAAAATGGTTTTTTGCATTTGTATCTTACTCGTTCTTTTACCTCTTTGCTTTCGGTTTCTTTCGTTTAGTTTACTTGGCAGATTTTTTACGTTTTTCTTCACACAATAAAAATAAAACTCGTTTTAGCAAACACCACTTAAGATTGATTTTTTGTGCACTTTTCTTTTGTGTAACGAGTGTATGGTTGTGTGCTCGGCGACAATGGCTGCTTGTTTTTGGCAACTTGAACTCAAAATATTAAAGTATATTGTTTTGTTTGTAAACAAAAGCACTTTTACTGAACGAAAACTGAAGAATTCACTTCAACTGATGTTCCGCACACAAGATATTAAACTTTTCACAAAATTGCAAATCTCGTGTTTTCCAAATGGTAAAATCTAAACACACCGTCCAATAGAGCGCAAGATTTTGTCAAATTCCAATCTGTGACGTCAAGCCATCTCGTGTTAAAACATCTTGCCGATAGGGGGAGCTCTAAGTATTTATTCACCACGCATAGAATATTGCCAGTACAAAAATATAGTGTAAATGGAAAAAACCTTTCCAGGATAAAATTTAAATCTATTAAAATTTGGAAACAATTCATTAATCATGTAAAGAATGATCTATTCTATATATTCTAATAATTTCTCGTAAATCTGTCCACCTATTTCTTATCTACGGCATTCCCTTTGCGAAACGCCCGTCCACCTGTGGTGATTATCTCTTGCGGCGCGCATTGTGCGGCAATTCAAGTATAAATATTAAGAGCCCATAAAATCAATTTAGCAACTTTTGTACAAACATTCACTCCATAAGCAGCGGTGAAATAATTTCTAATCAACCGACCGTGACCGATATGCACTAACGCCACCAATATCAAAGGCACTTTTTAGCTTGTGCCGCGCTTCAATAGCTTATGTAAAATTTACATTGTAAATGAAAAATAGTGATATCACTTACCTCGGGCAAGTTAATTGGTGAAGCTGGGTATGTGAGCGCTAAAAACGGCGAAGCAGGTAGATATAATCTGTTCCAAAGCGTATTCACCAAATTTGTAATGCGCTTCCAAGTTCTAATGGCCGGCTCCTGTATTCGCAAATACATCGACTCTACGTTCTAGCACTTTTTTCTCACGCTTCAACTCCAACTTGACTTGCTGCAATATTGCCACTATTGTGCGGCGTCCAAATTTATGCGGCGCGATGGTTTTATTTTGATTGCAATTGTTTTTCTCCTATTTTCAACGTTTTTCTGTAGATTTTTTTTTTCTTTTATACACGCCAACTTTCGTTTCTCTACACTTTATCACCTTGTTCGCGTATAAGCCCAAATGTCAAATGCTTGAAACTCGAACAGAAAGTTGTTTCATTTACGCACTTCGGGGAAAAGTCATTGGTTAGAAGGCGATGACTGCTGGTGGCGCTTTTGCATTGCTATAAATTCACCACACCTTAGGTAAATTAATCGGCAGCGTTACCCTATTGTTCAAGAAACTGAAGCGTTTGGCTTTTATCTAATCAAAACAAATGTTATATAGCTGTTGCACTCACACTTATCTGCAATGTGCGTTGCTTGTTGTTGTTAGGTTGGTGCGTGCAAAGGACTGTGAAAAGCGCATTAAAACTTTTGTTATCGCAACCGTTGCAGCTATGCATTTGCAACCAACTGCTGGAACAATAAACGCTTACCTTGTTGTTGGAATGCTTGCTTTTCCCACCTGCACGAAAACAGGGGAAAATCAAAGCGAAAATCTATGAAAGAAACTGGCGCAAGGCGAACCACTTCAAAGCAAATTGCAGTGTATTCTTGTAAGTACGCTATACGTTTTTAATTTACTCTTCAATGCACTAGGCCTACTCGACGATATGTGGAAGAAAATTTAAAACTTCAGATTGACAGCAAACAAAATGCAAGCGCTTTTTCGAAATTCTCTTGCCTCTTTTCATTTGCTGCTATGAATAGCGATGTTGGCTGTGGTTGAGTAGCCGTTGCGACATGGGAAGGTGTTGCCATATCAATTCTTTTCTCTTATCCGATATCCCAACCCGGTACAGTACCTATTAAAATAATGCCGTTCACACTGGCACCGAAACTGCTGATGCTTTTGTGGCTAGATTTAGTAGCTCTTTTTATTTTATATTTCCCCAGAAATTTGCTTTTAGCCTCTATCTTTTTTTAGGTCTTTTAAATTTTAAACATACCTTTGAGGCTCCAAAAATCTTAACCTAATTTTGAACATTAAATTTAAAAATGTCTGCTGTTTGTGTGAAAACACATTTCCATTTTTTAAATCTGTTAAAAGTTTAACATTTTCTGTCCGATTTGGCCGTTCTTATGCTTCACATTGTCGTTATAAAATTATCCTTCGTCTTATATTTTTTAATTATTAATTCTTTTTGCAAAGTTTTTCAACTGAAAGGAATTAATAAAAATTAACAACTTTCGAAAAAGCTTGAGAACGTACTTATCTTTCGAATTTAAACACATAAACACAAAAAGAACTATTCCGATTAATACAGAAATTATATCAACGCAATTAGGCTAAATATATTTTTCGAAAGATATCCAAAGGTTAGTTGTATCCGCTTTTATGAATTATTATTGTCGATAACTGCAAAAGAGACTTATTTTCATGTTTAGCGACCCTAAATTAATCTAAAAAAAACACTTTTTAGCGAAGTCCTTTTTTCTTATAAACTAGCGTAGTTAATGAATCTATTTTTTATGTTTTCTTTTAACGAGTAAACAAATTAAATTTATGGGAATTCGTTATAAAATAAAAACACAAATTTTCAATGGATTAATAATGAAACTAGCCCTTTTCTTAGCTCTAAAATTGTTTATTTAGCCCTTTCTTGCTCTTTTTTTCGGGAGATTCTAACCCTACATGGATTTACTTTCTGGCAGCACTGGTTAGGGACAAAATTAAAAATTGGTTACCGTTTTATAGCCATTAAACTAAAGATCCATTATGTCATAGTTTGAGCGCCACTGATTTGTTTCGGACATAGCTGTTTTTTTGGGACAGGAAGTGAGTTTTAAAAAAATGTTTATACTTCGCAGTATAGTTTGCGTCCAAATAAAAAGTGTATGCATAAAGATATTTTAATTTGTTGCAGATACAGAAACTAACAAATTTGCCTTGTGTATTTAACACAATCGGCAAGCGTCCAAATATAAATTTAGACGCTTGCAAGTGCTGAAGTATTAAATTGCCGCCGCTTAAAATGGTAGTTCGTAACAGGTTAAATAAAAAAAAAAATATTTAATTTAATTTTACGGAATTCATTTCAAATCAAATTATAGACAAAGCATCTGCATGCAGCAGAGAGGCAACATAAGCAGGAGCTGCAACATTCGAAGTTTATTTCAGATTCATTTTCGAATTAGGTGGGGTGTTAGGGGTTGTTAGTAGGTCGGTGGTGGATACACAGTCGGCGGCGCTATGCCATTGACAGCACAAATCACAGTACGTCTAGTGTATTTAAGCGGTGTGGTGATTTTAGTGATTTCTAAACTAAAAGTGAGCAAGTAAAAACGTGATAGAATCAGATTTAAGCAATAAGATAAATTGCAAAATAAAAGTCAATAATACAGCTATATATGTATAACAAAATAAAAATTACGGTTAAGGAAAAATTTCATTGTGCTGTGCATGTACATACATACATATGTGTCGTATATTTGTAAAATTATGTGCCTTTGTGCATAAATATTATTGGTCGAACAATATATGTAAAATAGCGTATATGTATGTTTGAACTTAAGTTTGGAGATTTATGCATCGAAGTTTCATAATTTAAAAAACTCGTAAAACTATCAGCACTGCATAGTCAAAGAGTGCAAAAAACGTAAGCATTTTCGCCTTAATTTTTTGTTAGCTGGTGCTGTAAATTTCTACAAAAAACGAATTAATTATTAAATAATTTTTATTACAAAAAGTCGCACTTTATTTACATGCGAAAATCATGAATACACGCAATTTAAAAGTAAAGGACCTCTTCTACGTAAATACATATATGTACATACATACATATGTGTACATATGTACAAGCATAAAATTCTGTGTATGCACAAGTTACTTTCCGTTTTACTTATGTAACTCATACATCCACACAAAGACGACACTGACACAATGGCGGTTGTCACATCCGCATAAGCAGCCATCGGTCGACATTGTCCTAAATCCGTTTACTGCTAATGGAAGCACGTGTTAGCTTCGATAGAACTTGGATTACATAAACAGTGAAAGTAAAAGTAAAGAAATGTTAAATATGAAAGTGAAAATAGCAAAGTAAAGTAATTCGGTAATTTGTGTGAGTTGGGCCAACTCTGTTAAACGACAAGCGATCTGATGCAAGATGTACTATAAACTGTGCTATTGAGAATGGGGTCTGGGAAAATGTTTGGGGATGCTTTTGTTTAGGGCAATTTCAAACAGTTATAAATGTATGTATGTATATTCATTATCAAATATGCCACAAGGGGTGCTTACGCTACTCAAAGGAAAATTGAAGCGCGTTGAGTTTTTTTCTTTTGTGAGTCGGGAGGAGTATTGATTGAAGTCTGATGGTATCAGGAGGATTTTTCTAAAATTGTGTCTTTCTTCATGGAGAAATACTCCTCTAGTCAGTGATGGACATACATAGTTACACAAGTACTTTTGTATTTGAAACGCCAATTTTGGGTTCTAAATATCCAAATACCTAGTACTATTTAGTCAACTAAGTTCACCTAAACTCACCTCAGCTCCAATGAACTCAACTCACCTCACTTCATCTAACCTAAACTCACCCCACCTCAACTCGCCCCTATTTACCTGACTTCAATTCATGTTTTGGCCACGAGAATCCCGACATAGTGCCGGAAATGCCGAAACAGCACCAAAAAACCTGAAAATCCTCGTAGATAGTCCCGAAAATCCCGAACTAGTCCCGAGGGAGAGGTAATGCTGACTCCGAACAGTTTCCATTGAGTGAGGTTTACGATATGTAGCAAAAAAAAATTAATACAAAATTTTCTTTGAAAACGAAAAACCGCCTGCCCTAGGTATCTCAAAGTATAATAAAGATTAAGGTGCTAAAAGAAATCTTGCGACGCGGTAATAATTTGCAACAAAAATAAGCATGCCAACAAATCGAGTTAATTAGAGTGCAAGCTTCTATAAATAATTGATCATTAATAAATGAGGGCAATGTAAACATGTACAAAGTTGTATACCGAATGTATTATATGTATACATTAGGATGGTTCATTATTTGATTTTCCCAAAATTGCTTTTAGAGTTATTCGAAAAAAGGCCATTTGAAAAAAGGGGTTTTAATTTTTTTATAAATCGGTAAAAACGGGTTAGGCCGGATATTTGCTCTCGATTTTTCGCATTTGGACAACGCTTACAGTTAGAAATGAAAGCAAAAATGGATTAATTAATTAATTAACTAATGTTCTACGTGCAAAATAAATACATCCACGAAAATTACGAAATGTTGCGCAAATTTTTAAGGGTCCACTACCAGTGTTTCGAAAAATTAAATTTTTTTAATCGCAAGAATTCGAAAAAAAATGAAATGAAATCTAATAAATTTGACATATTATTAAAACTTAGTCATACAGTATACATACTATGTATGTATATTAGGGTGGTCTAAAAAAAGTTATGTCGACATTTTATTGCTCTCACAGCTGGTATTGCTCTAAACCGAAAAAATATACCCGTTTTTTTTATTTTGAAATCAAAAAAATATTTAGAGGGTAAAGCGCTCAAAGTCTTCCATGTATTTATACATACAATTTTTCGCAGAAATCGTATAAAATTTAAAACGAAATATTTTTCGATCGGAAACTCTGTTTCTCTTCAGGAGACTTCCAATAATAATAACAAATTGTTTATTTAACAAATTTTTAGTACTGACTATTTTTTAAAAAATTCTCCAAAAATGCAATGAGATACACATAAAAAATCGTTAATTTAAAATAATAAACAATTGAGTATTATTACAGAGTAGAGGAAATCACAGGTTTTGAAATTACACAAAAAAGTTATGATTCTGCATACCGTTTTTCCAGATCAGCTCATTTTCCAAAGAAATTTTACTTTTCATGAAAAAATGAAGACAAGAAAAAGTAACAATTTTATTTTTTTTTTAATTTTATTCGTTTCTTTTGAAAACGAAAATCAAGCTACTAACGATAAAAATCGAATGTGAATGGTCAAATGAAAATGTGCAATAAGTTTTTGTATGAAATAGGAGAATGAAATAATATATAATAGTAATATCTTACTCTCCCAAAGAGAGAAACTTACTAAGTTTTGCGCGAACAGGAATTAGCAAACATTTGCAAGCTTCACTGCTAGCTGGCGTCCATGGTTGCGTTTCGAACATAATAAATTTTTTAAATTACTTCAAGTGGAAAACAAAACAGGACTTATACGTATATTTCTTCTTATTCTGCCTTTCTTCAACATACGGTTCAACTTCTTTGTGGAAGTCACTGTCGGATTTCCGCGTCGAATGTTTTCCGATTACGAATACAGCTTTTTCAGGCGAGTACCTTTCAAATGTTTGGAATGAGTTAAATTAATTGCATAAACAAATATTTACATACTTCTTTCATTTAATTTCATTTAAATTTTCATTTTTAAATTTAACGAACTTGTTGATTCAAATTAAGGCTGACAAAAATGCAACCGTGTCGCACCGCAATCCTGCTTGTAAATTCTTGCTGGCAAACATTTTTCGCACCACGAATTTGCAATTTCCCCTCCAAATGAAATGTCGAAATTGTGCTCTCTCCTTGCAAGTTTTACTAGCCAAACGAAAACGATTTGTTAACAATTGTCACCAAATTGTACAAGTTTTTTGCATAGCGAACACTCTTAACGTTACCAGTACATCCCCTTACATGGCGTATGAGTAACATTTTTAATGTTAAAGATTGATTTTTTTCATTCGTAATGTAAACTTAAAAAAATATGTATCTTGGGAAAATGACCTGATCTAGAAAAACGGTATAGCGTAATCTACGACCAAAAATTTAGTTTACGTGTATCGGCGTTTTTTTTTTGTGTCAATTTATTCTGATCGAATATCGATAGAATCGAAATCGGATTGAGGGGGTGAGAGCATTAAAATTCGGACTTTACATAATTTACATTAATTTTGGTCCCGCCTTAATGTATATTATATGTATGTTTGTTTATAAATATGTATGTATCTATATATGTGTGTATGTGTGCGCACACGACAACGTGTTTAAACTAGCGTAGCGAGCTTTTGATTTCAGCAATCTATAAATAGCATGCAAATTACATTAATATTTTGCAAACAAAATTATTGCAATAAACAAATAGGCAAAAAAACAAAATACATACGTATTTATGTACATACATAAGAAAGTGCATTTAACCACTTAAACGTGCAATCATTGCGCTATGAAGTACATTTTTTTTTTTTTTTTTTATTTATGTATTTGCGATTTCGAAAAATGTCAGAGTTCATTTTCGAAGTGGGTGGCAGTTATGTACATGCATTGGTCGAAGGTGTTGAGCGGTTGTCACCGCTGCGTAGCATGTCACTCAGAAAAGGTGAATTTGGCACAAGTCTGTTTAGTCGAAATTTATCCGTTGCAGTGAATGGTATTCTTGTGGTAGTCCAAGCGATTATTTTGGCCGCTAGCCTAATTATGAAAATAAGTAGAAATAAAATAAAGTATCAAAAAATCGACTGCTGCTTAGTATGATTTAAGATTTAGTACAAGTGTGCTACCTAAAATTTGTGAGTTTTTATGTAATTTCTTGGCCATTTTTAAATTTGCGGAATTCGGTGTATTCGGTGTAAAGTCAAGTCACGTGGTTGTAAATATTTTCAATGTGCGATATTTGCAGAAAAATATGTGTGCATAAGTGCTTACATGTAGGTACATACATAACTATGTAATTGAATATAGACGGATGTAAAAACAATGTTGGAAAATCTATACATAATACTCTAAAAACAACATACAACTATTGTAATATACATACAAATTAATGACGTTCATTTGCTCTAGGTCTGATCTATGAACATGATTTATTAAAAATTTCCTCAAACAAATACATTAGTATACGTTTTCAGTAACAGCCAGAGTTGCCATAGACACATTTTTTTCCCTACCAAAATTAACCAAAACCTACCAAAATTTTTTTTTTTTTGAGTTTTAAATTATTTTTTTTCAATGTAAAATTTAATAAAAATGTAGATAACTTTACATTTAGTAAAACTAAAACACAGCTAATACAATAAAAACAAATTAACTGCGTATAACAATTCATTTTACTGTACAGACGTACGTATAGGACGTGGGCAGGCACATAGAATATACTCTGGGGACTCCTCCACCAGCCCACAAAACCTACAGGCCATCTCTACAGAAAGCCCCATTTGATCCAAATGGTAGCTTAACTTGCAGTGTGGTTTCTTTTATTTTCTTTGCCTACCGTCAGTGGGCACTAATTTGAGATTATTCCCAGCTTCTAAGTAGTTAGTTCTGCAGTGTATCCTTTAGATGTGCCGCAGAATAGCTCGGGACCATGCAAGTGCATTTCGGCTCCACTCTTTGCGATACAGTCAGCCCTTTCGTTGCCTTCTAACCCTTCATGTCCCGGAACCAAGCACAGCGTTGCGCTATTGTGGGCTCTCAGGTAGTTCAAGAGTCCACAAGCATTGGTGCCGTTTTAAAAGAGCTAAGGCCTTTAACACTGCCTGACTATCGGACACAATATTTATTCTGGCCCCATTTGTCCGAGATAGGGTTTGCCACCATACCTTCCAAAATTTTCCCTCTTGCCGAAAGAGGTGCTGGTTGGTACCAAACTTTACGTTTCTAAGTCAAAAATTTAGAGGATGCTCATGAAACTCATATTTCACTCTAGAAGTATTGTGATAGATTAAGCAACCTAAGAACATTTCAAATTTAAATTAGCTACAAAAAAATATAACAAGCTTCAGTTGTCATAGCAACAGTAATTCTTTATAAAAGCACCAATAATTTTTTTTAGTTTCACAGGGATCCAGAAGCGTATTTCAAGGTCATTGAGCACCCTGTATTGATTTACATATATCAAAAGTAAAAAACTAAGGGGGTGCCTCGTTTTCTAGGATAACATTTTTTTCTCCATACAAAAATTGGACCACTCTAATGTTCATATTATATAAATATATTGGCAATAATAAGGGTATACGCTTGTACTTACGAATCAGGTATGCTTACGGTCGCCGTTGCACAAATGCATCGGTGAAATATTCGTGCAAATAAGGTTGCTAAAATATTTGGAGATACATATTTTCTATTTTTCACAAATAACTATTACTCATACTACCAAAATCCAATCTAGCCTACCAACCTATGAAATGGAAAAAACCTACCAGTTTTGGTAGGAAAAGCCCATGTGCGGCAACACTGTTCACAGCTGTGCGCAATTTCCCATTACAGCATTTTCTCTCTGCTCAACCTGCGGCCAGTAAAAGAATCGCGTGATTTATCCAGTGCCTTCAGTCGAAATCGTTGTTTTGGCCTGCAAAACGCGCTAAAATTCAACAAACACACGCCAATCTAACTTATGCGTATACATACATATATACATATATACAACTCTTGCGCTCTACTCGCTCTTCGTCCTCTGTGTTTTTGTTTTTCTGTGTTGGTGGAACTCACTCCTCATTGTTTAACTGTCAGCCCAGCTTTTCATTTCACATCCCAGTCACCCATCGCCATGCTGGCAATGAGGTAAAAGCGAGTCGTACAAACAAACGAGCAAAGGAACTTAAGTCACAGATGCTCGCACATGCACATGTATGTGTGTGTGGGTGTGTGCAGGCATTCATGCCCTGCGTTCTAACAAATATTATTTTATACTCGCACTAAGTACATATGTATGTATGTACATATTTATGCAACATAAAACTGTTTATTACTACGATATAATGTTTTCCTGTTTATTATTTGCTTTTCTTCCAACAAAGTAACGTGTCATGTGTGAGGATATGTATCTTTTTATGCACAAAAAGTTATTACATAAATATTGCGATTGAACCAGAATTAAAGAGGAAGAACAGTGTTTAAATGTTGAAGCGATAAAAAAAAAGAAAAATTGTGTGAAATCTTTGCAGGTTGTTTCAACAATAGTGGCACTTATTGTCGATAAAATAAGGTAAACACAGCCTGGCATCATGGCAATGTTTAGGTCCAAGTTCGCGTGTATATACATATTATTTATATGTATGTATGTATGCATGCATTTAAACTGGACATTTTAAAGTGGGTATATCTAAGCACATCTTAAAAGCATTTTGGCCGTTGAGCATGCACACATACATACATATACATATATGAAAAAAATGTTTGTAATGAAAAAGGATAACACTGTTCGCCATGGCGTATGAGTAAAATCACCTTATTCGGATATGATTACAATACTTAATACCGTCGAATAAACTGGAAAAAATTGATAAACCCCAGCCAACCTTCTACTAACAAACAAACAAAAAAAACTTATGTATAGGACGAAGCCGAAAATTTTACTTTACCGTTAGTGGTGTGCGCAGCGCTTTCGATAGAAGCAACATTTTGGTATAAAACAAGTAAGAAAGTCTAAGTTCGGGCAGAGCCGAACATTAAATACCCGGCGCACGTATTAAATATATGTTTTTCGCCTTACCGAAAGCTACGGCTACATGGTAAGCCGGGGCGTATCAATTTTGAGTAAATTAGAGTCCTTAAATTTCGATTTTGAAGTTTCAAGCAGTTCTGAAATTTACCGTTATATGAGAAGCGGCCGTTATTTTAGTCCGATTTCAATAATTTTCAACGGTTTGCTTATATGTGGCAAGCACAATAACCACACCGAGTTTGGTACAAATTGGTAGACCGGTTACTGAGATACATATATGTGATCATAAGTGGGCGGTGCCACGCCCATTTTCCAAAAATTTATCACAAACGTATTTCTTGGTAAAGAATTGTTGCAAGCATCAATTTTGAACAAATTAGCTTCAATATTTACTGATTTATCGAAGATTTTGTATTTCTCTAAATTACCGTTATATGGGATGTGGGCGTGGTTATCGTCCGATTTTAAAAATTTTCGGCGATTTTGTATGCTGTACCAAGGCCGATAACTGTGCCAAGTTTGGTAGAAATTGGTACAGCGGTTACCAAGATATACACATGTAACCATAAGTGGGCGTGGCTACGCCCATTTTCCAAAAATGTATAATATTCTTATTTTATTTATATATGTCAAAAAATTATTGTAAATACCAATTTTGAGTGCTTTATCTTCAGTAGTTACTAAAATATCGCAGTTTTCGTATTTCTGGAAATTACCGTTATACGGGAAGTGGGCGTGGTTACAGTCCGATTTCGCCCATTTTCAATAGCAACCTACCTTGGATTAAGGGAAACCTACATACCAAATTTCGTTGAGATATCTCAATTTTTACTCGAGTTATCGTGTACACGGACAGACGGACAGACGGACAGACGGACGGACAGACAGACATGGCTTAATCGATTTCTTTTTTCATCCCGATCATTTATGTATACATTTGTCTATATCTATCTCGATTCGTTTTGGCTGTTACAAACAACCGTTATGTGAACAAAATTAATATACCCTTGTGCACAAGTGCGCTCGGGTATAAAAAGGGGTTTGAAAGCTAATGTAATTATTTCTTTTGGAACAAAATAAATCATCTTACCACCCAGTCGAAAAGATCAATCAACACCAACATACTAATGTTATTATCTTATACAGAAAATATTGCCATTGAGCCATAATTACTCATTGACCTTAACAAGATTGGTCGTAAAAGAGGGGTTTAACCACCGGATTTCTTAAAAAAAAAAAATTATTTGGATGTTTTGTTATCATTGATTTTGGAATGATTAAACACGATTCCATTGTTTAAAAATGAAAAAAAAAATTGTAACTTGAATTAAAGGGTGTATCCTCGACAACCAAATTACGCCATTTCAACCCTCAATTTCAAATTGGTATTGTAGCTGTTTACTCAATCATCTCAATTTAAATCGCAATTTCGATGACAGTTTGTTTATTTGTTTGTTGGTTTTGTTTTGCTCGGTTTGTTTTTGTTTTTGTGCTTATTTGCTTGCTATTGGCAATTGTTTTTTTTCTCTTTTTTTTTGCTCATTAATAATTCACAATAAGCAATTATTATCTCTGTATGCTGGCCATTGAGCAACGAACAGTATTGTCAAGTAAAATTAGTTGAATATAAATTTGTTTATGATAAAACCAAAATTAAAAATTTTAAAAAAAATTTTCTTTAATGTGGAATGTTTCTTAGCCCTTTGCTTCTCGAAGTCATTGCTGCTGTGCTCTTCTTCGCTCCGAAGCAATATGTTTTAAAAGTTTGCGTTTTTACGAATCTTCACTAATCGAGTATTAGACTATGGCTGAACGTTTGGCTCGACTTCGGCAAAAGATTTTACTTTCGGTGACCCATCTTTGCTCGACTCGACTTCAGCAAAATATTTAACATTCCTTCGGACTCCAGATATGATGCGAGACTTTTAAAGAATTAGCCACGTACATATCGCACACCGCATTCAAAAGAAAAATTTTTAAATTTTTGAAATTATTTACCTTTCAACAAAAGCTGTAGCAAATTTTTTTTTTTATAATTTGTTAAAAAACCTAAGGTAAGGTCGCCCTTGCCCATATGATTATCATGTGCTAAGAAATACTTTTTCGCATTTTCTGACAAACGGTATTATTTTGAGTTGTGACTCTTTTGAAGACGGTGTGCGATATGTAGACATATACAAAGTATGTACACCAGTGCGTATGAGCGATGTTAGTTCGGAGCAAAATGATTCAAACATCCTTAATTCGTATAGTGATGTGGAAAAATTGTTTGCGTGTAAATAGGGATGAAACGATACCATGCAGTTATCGATATTTTTACTTGGAAGTAGTATCGAAAGAAAATGTCGATACTCGAAAATTATCGATACCTACATATATTGATACTTTTGACTATGAAGGTATTCCGTATGAACTGAGTTAAATTTTATGTTTTTATGGAATAAGTTCATCATCCTCTGTGAATCCCAAACTACAATTAATAAAAGTTATAATGTAGAAACTGAAAATAAATAAAACATCATTACATAGCAAAACGGTATGTTTAGTGATGAGTGGTATATAACGCAGATAATACATTGGAAAAGATTACTAATGGTTTTACTAAAAAAATTCGCCAAATTAATTCAGTAGATAATTTTCGCGCAAAATTGTTCTTGAATTTATTTTCGGGCAAAACTCAGGATAAAGCCATTCCAAAGCAAAAATTACTTTAGAATCGGCTTTCGATACGAGTATTTTTTCGATACCTACTAAGTACTTGGTTCAAAAGTATCGATGCCAAATATACTTGGTATCGAACGAAAAGTTGTTGGAGTATGTACATGTATTTACTCATATCGTTTCATCTCCACCTGTAAATAAAATCGAAAATACGGCTCGATATGTAGGTATTTAAATTTAAATTTCCTGCAAATTGATTACTGCTTTCCAATTTATTTTATTTTTTGCCTAGCAAATTCCAAATGTCCAGTCATACAACATTGCTGTTGAAAGTCCTCACAAGCAGGTATTATATGTATGTAAAATGCTATTGGGTAATCGGTTAATGTCTAAAGAAGAACGAATTGAATCGCCACAAAATGATGGAGATGTACATACGTATGTATGTATGTATGTATGTATGTATGTATGTACTATCGTTGGGGTGTTTTGCAGCTTGTGCGCAATTTAATCAAAATTTTCCCCATTCAGCGCTAAGCATTTGCTTTCATGCTCAATCGTTTGTGATTTCATTGAAAGCCATTTGAAATGGCAAGTATTTTGGTGACCGCAGCATCACTTCTCTACTCTTCTTTTCGCCTCGTTGTGTTTTAATTTTTAGTGCCCATTTCAACTTGTCAGTAAATTGCGAATGGATAGTAACTATTTGTCTTAAAATAAGTTAACGTTTGCGTAATTGCTTTATGGTGTATTCTCACTTAGTACAGCAATTTAGCAATTGGCAATCGGCCTCTTCATGTCAGTCTTGAAAAAAAAAAACGGTCAAATCAAAACAAAAGAGAAAGAGCTGCAGTACGCACTTGAAAAATTCTCTCAACTTGCCTTTGTTCAATTTTATCGTGAATAGCCATCTACTTTATACTAGCACGGTATGGAAGAATTCTACGTTAATTGCTTTAGTTAATTTAGCGTTTCTAAGAGACTAAGAGAAGATTAATGCTATTCGAGAAGGATTTACCATGATGGGCAATCAGATACTGAAGATTCTAAATCATGCATCAAACAATTATTCAAGCAGGGGTAGCTATGAAAACACACATAATACAAATTTAGTATGTATATTCTTCTACGACAGATTTTCTAAATATAGTTCTCATGATACCAATTATCTTTTTAGATTACACATATGCAATTACTAACCGGCAATTAATTTATCTTTTATTGCAGCTTGATTAATTTCAATTAAACAACCAATAAACCTAAATACACTCGCCTTTAATCATCATCGTTGCAGTGTAGCCTTAAAATTTTGAAGTCAATTAGCGCGCATCGCCGCACATACATACGTACATAAATATATCAATCAAAAATTGCCGCCAATCGTGTCGCAAAAAGCCGTGTTCATTTGTGGAGGGCAAAATTTCCATTTCAGCTATCGATAAACCATGCAAACTGCTGTCGACTGCAATGGCAGCAACGGCAGCAATAACAAAAACAGCAACGCCACAACAACCACCACAATCATGGAGAGCAGCAATGTCAGCGTTGATGCCTGCAGTGAACTCCTCTCACACGATGTAACACCGTCACGTTCAACGCCAGCCGTTCTGCTAACGCCGGTAGCAATGCTGGAACAGACGAGCGTGCTGCGCCATCGCTTGCAAGTGGGTGTTGGTGTCGGCCACAGCATCGGCACCTCGGCCATGAATTACGGCTGCCCGGCCACTGTGGGCGCGACAACGGCACACAAAGTGAGCACGCCAGCCACTGCACTCATCGACATGGCCGAATACATGGGTAGCAATGTTGAGTGTATGTCCGTGACACCATCACCTTCGCCACAAGCGTCACCATCTAAGAAAGCAAAACAGAACTGTGCCGACACTACTACGACATCAACTACAAAGCCAATCGTCTCGCACACCACAATAAACGCTGACGCTGCGGCGGCGGCGTCTAGTCAGGCGTCTAGTCAGTGTTCTACTTCTAGCAGCAATTCGAGTTCAAATTCCTCTACATCATCTGTGATCGCATCACCAATTAGCATTAAGCGAGATGTGGCGCGTCGACGAGCGCTAGCAGGAGAAGTGGGTGACGGTGACGTTGGCGTTGGCGTTGGCGTTGTCATTGGTAGTGGCAGCAACGCTGATGCTGCGCTCGTTACAGCAGGTGATATACTAGATTTAAGTGGCAAAGATTGTGCCGAACGACGAGATGCACTAGCAACCAGAGGGCTTCCACTTCATGCCGCATACGAAGAACACGTGACGTTCTTCACACCAACAACACCATTGTCGCTGCCATCATTATCGTCTTCAATGAGTTCATTGTCACCTTGTACGAATTCGACGAATGCATCGACGCCTGCAACTTCGACGTCGTTAAGTTCGACGGCGTTGACGCCGGGAACAAATTCATCGAAGTCGTCGCCATCGCACTCAACAACGAAATCACCCGCGTTCACTTCCGCTATACAGCTGCAGCATTGGGAGGATATGCCGAAATATTTACAGTTTAACCCGTATGTGCTCAACGGTTACCGTCCATTGACAACATTCAGAGGCTGCCTGCTAAGCTTGTTCTATTGGCACAACGAAACGGTCAACATACTGACGCATGGTAAGTGGAAGAATTTAAGTGAGAAAGGGGATATAAATAAATACGTCTGAACCGCCAATTCGACTATGTTTGATTGTAGTATTTAGTCAGAAGCACTCATTGTATGGCTAAACTGATATACCATGAATTAATTGCTCTTCTCAATATAATAGCCTATTTCCACCAGAAGCTTAACTGCAATTAAGAGCACAGGTAGTTTGCAATAATTTTAACATGGGGTTTGTTACTTTTTGCTTTTTTTCATTCGTTTTCTTGTACTTAATATGAGCGATTATCCCTTTCTAAGGCTCGGTGAAAACGAACTATAAGATTGTCTTTTTTCAATTGTATTCACTTTCATCTTGATAGGCACCGTAGCGAAGCTATGTCTGCGCGTTAATTAGTTTACACAAAACGTATGTATGTATTTGTGTGTGATATCAAACACGCACACTCACACTTACTCAAACTTTGGAATGCATTTAAACTTTTCTAACTGTTAGTTAGTTACGTGGGCGGTAACCTTTGGCAACCGTACGGATTTTCAACTAATCGATGAACACAAATCGCTTTGGCATTTGCTTGCGTTGACTTTTTACAGTTCGTGACCTTGAAAGCTGTCAGGGGAAAAGTGGTAGGCAATGGCAAATTCACATCAAATGAGTGCTGCTAATAAAAAAGTGTGTTTGTATTGACTCGTTAAGTGAGAAGATGGCGCTTGCGAAAATGCTGTAATTGGGGCATTCACAAGGCAGTGGTGTAGCCAGATGGGCCGGCGGGGGGAGGATGGGATAGATCACCCCCTTTGTCAACAAACTATCGTTTTTACTTTTGGCTTATAAACACAATACCATTTTATACTTCTGATTTATCATTTTTTATTTCAAACTAATGACATTTAAATGACTATGCGCCTTTTTTTAAGTAATCTGTTACTTTAAAGCTAACTTTATATTGAAAGGTTGCATTCAAATTTATGATTTTGTCTAAAGTAAAGCATTCCATTTTCGGTTTTAAGTTTGTATACAACCAAG